TCTCTCGCTCTCTCCTATCTCTCTCTCTCTCTCTCTCTCTTCTCTCTCTCTCTCTCTCCCTCTCTATCTCTCTCTCCTCTGCCTTAATCGTTATCTGGAACTCGATCAGGTCTGGTAGAACTGTATCTTTGCAGCATTTTGTATAGCTGTACCTTTACATTGGAGGCTGCGTTGAGCATGGTGTGAGCGAAGGTAAAGGCTCACAAAGGAATCCGGAACTCCCCCACGCCCACATTAATCATAGCTTCAACCGTAACCAATCAGGAGAATCGCGCCCATGATAGCCCGGGCGCCTCCAGTCATCAAATGATCAGCGCATAACCAATGACGTGGAAGCGCGCCTGGACTATAACGTCCATCGATACTGACAGGGCCCGAAATAGATCCGAGCGCGGACCGAGCCGCAGAACACCCAGGACGTACCAGAACACGTCCCGGCTGCAGGTCGAGCGCGCCCCGCCGCCGGTGACTGAGCAGGCCACAATTAGGCCACAGCTGCGAAGCGCCGTCGCAGCCGACTGACCGAGCTGGCATTTGAATGGCGTTGCTCATCCGTAGCAATGCGGCGCGAAATCACATCGGGACAGGAGATAAATCGGATTACGTGGACAGTGGACTCGCTGAATAACGCACGGAACGTCTATCTTAGTGGGTGTGGGCAGAGAGAGGCTCTGGGAATCCGTTGCGTGGTTGCATTGGTCGATCCGTTCCCGGTAGGGCCCGCAGTTACAAAGATAAATTGTAATGTTCAATGTTCGTCCAATCGTGGCAATCGTGGAGCTATTGAAGCATCATCTGGGCTTGCGTGCTACAGAAAAAGCTCTGATTGGGACCCATCTATCAGCATGGTTTGATGGGCGGCAGTCAGAGATGTCTTCAGGGATGGGGAAATCGGGATGTCCCTCTCCCTCCCTTATTACATGTTTACATATATTAAGATGGTTGTTCATAAATGTAGACACTCGGGAAATCAGGGCAGACACGTAAAGTAAGTGCGTTTAGACACATGGTGGTGTTCTATACCATGCAAGAAATTTTAAGGTTCTGACGGCACGCTTAAATGGTGTTTGTGGCCAAATATTTTATTTTCCCCTACATTGCGCAATTTTGCATACGCACCTAGAGCGTGGCAATAGCGCAGTGGTTAACACGTCTCCGTCAACCATTGTGCGTCTGGGAAACCGGATGTACGGGGTTCGATTCCACGCGGTACCCGCCCGTTCCGCCAGGGTGAAAGGCGGGCAACTGCCATATAGTCTCAGCAGCTGAATGCGTCGTAAAGCCCCAATGGCACACACACACATACGCCTCTGTGAGCGGTGTCAAGGTTAAAATATTTACAATTTGATTCCAACTACACAGCCCAACCGTGACGCCACTTTCTATTCAAAACTTCTTCTGTGACCAGGTTCTTACAAAGCCTTATCAGCAGCACCCGCAGCCACATCATTCAGAATTCATTGCTTCTTCCGTGTTTGCAGAACACACGTTGCATCTATTCGGTCGGCAAATACTGCTGCTCGGCTGTACTGGTCCGCTCAGCCATCACCCAAAGACATCGCTCGGCTCCAAATGTGAAGTGGGCCGACGCCTGACCACAGTTGGCGGTGGGAGCGGCCCCAGTCCACAGTAGCTCGCGGTGTGGACACACTGCAGTCCACAGGACAGGAGCCGGCGGTGTGGGCGCCGGAATACGTACCGAGCACGCCGCTGCCGATGATTGAGTTGATGAAGTTGAAGCTGGCCGAGGTAAGCGAGCTCTGCTCCTCCTTGGAGGCCTCCTCTTCGCCCACCTGTGGAAACAGGACAGGTGGTAGAGGTCCTGCAGGTAAACAGGCCCAGCCAGCTCAACTAACAACATCGGGTAGGGGACTCGTCGACACCCGTCAGCACCATGTCCGAGACATGATGGGGGGGGGGGGGGTACGTCATGAGTACTGCAGAGACGAGTGGACCTGACTGAGAGCGGACTGGGAGCGCTTCAGAGCCACATTAACCGTGGAAAAGGCCGTAGGTATTGTATCACATTAAGTCGTGTAGCTAGTCCGAGACAGAGTAAACTTCCCTTAAATCCAGCGTCAGTAGCGCAAATCAAAAGGCCACTCATAGACGCATTTGCTCAGGATCTACAACGCTAACATGGTTTAAATCCTAGCGCGTCATTATGATAAGTTACGCGCAGAAAGCACTGACAGCGGACCAATCCCGCGGGCCCTTGGCAACAAGTTGAAAGCGCATTAGAAGGTGGGCCGCCCGCGCCAGCGACCCCGGCACCGGCTCGGGCTCCTCCGCTCAGGGAGCAAGCCTCTCCGCCAACGGCCTCCACCCGCGCCGTGCCGCTGTCATCAGGAGGCGTCCCGCTCGAGACGCGCCGCGAGCCCCAGCGCGGCTTGGGCGACTCCGCGTGGGTGCCAACCCGGCGACGTTCGGAGGGGACTGTCGGCTTCCCACCAGCGGCGCCGGAAACAGGCGTGGTCCTGCCGCGCCCTCTGTCCGGCGGTCAGCCACGCCAGCCGGGGTGGGACAGGCTTCGGGGTGCAGGGCATGCGGAGGTGGGGCGGGGGGGGGGCCGGCGCCGCCCGACCGTCGGATCAATGCATAACCGGACGAGAACGGCGTGTCGCCGGCGCTGTCAGCTGGACGCCGCCGCCGCGGCACCGGACCCGACACACGACTCCGCACGGCACGGCACGGCACGGCACGGCAGTAGCGACGGTCAGCTGACCGAGCCCTGACGTTACTGACGACACTCCCCCGTGGCGGCCAACCCTCTGAGTAATTGGGCGAGCCGGCGGACGGGGCGTCAAAATCAGTTTTGCCTCGCTCCGAAGACATGGGTTAATGCTGGATTCTGTTGAAGCTGAGGGCAGTGGCTGTCCTCCTTTGCCCTCTCCATTCACCTCCACCGTAGCACACGCCAAGGGTGCCCACTGGGTGTTGTTAAGGGGGTGTAAACGGCACCTTGAAGTCATCGCGTGTGTTGTCAATGTGTCACACAACACGTTACGAAGGTTATATGTATGTTTTAGTGTTAGGCCTGTAATTTCCTTTTTGATGCGAACACTCGCTTTTGTTGCGATACGTCGTTCGTGTTTTGAGCCCTGCTTGGCGCTTTTAACTAGAACTCGTTATTCGAGACATCTGAACGAAAGACGAAATAATAGGAATGAACTCCATTATGGCAAGATGGTCATGATATTGCATGAGCCTCTTATGGTCAAATGCACGTCGACACATCTTACAGCGGAATGTATGCTATCTTCCGACGTTACAATCTACATGCGGCCGCAATTCTATCCACCGTTAAGCTAATTTTATGGTAACTTAAAATATTGGGCCTATCGCATTTGTGGCCCAATCCCGTGGCCCATATATATATATATATATATATATATATATATATATATATATATATATATATATATATAGACGTGAATGGAATTCCCAGTTATAGAGTATTCCCAAGACTGGTACAGAACAAACCAAATATTATGATTTCTGCGCCTAACACTTCTACTCATCGCGTGGTAACCGTATGATATGTGTGTGTGTGTCAGGACCGCGGAGGCGGGACGTGAGTCGGGACGGCGGAGGCAGGATGTGTGTCAAGACGGCGGAAGCGGGATGTGAGTCAAGACGGCACAGGCGGGATGTGAGTCAAGACGGCGCAGGCGGGATGTGAGTCAGGACAGCGGAGACGGGATGTGGGTCTGGACGGCGGGGGCGGGATGTCGGTCTGGACGGCGGGGCGGGATGTCGGTCTGGACGGTGGGGGCGGGATGTGAGTCTGGATGGCGGGGGCGGGATGTGAGTCGGGACGGAGGGGACAGGTGATGTAAGACGATAGGATGTGGTGGAAGGATTCGGGAGCGACGGATGCGCGTCAGGCAAGTCCCGCGTTCCTCTTCAAAAGAACTATTATATCATGCACTTAAAACATCACATTATGTACCAAAACAGTGCCGTAATGACAATTGCTAGGTACTGACCTCCCATGGGCCGATGCTGAGGCCAAACCCACGCTGTTATGACGGTGTAAAGAGGACACCATCTATAATCAAATTCTGACATAACATGCGCCACATTTGAATTATGTAAGTTTTCAGTGTATTAGCGGGGAGCATTATTCAATTGGTAAGACAGTAGTATTAGCCCTATTCCTCAGAGAAAAACCGGGAGAATGAAGGTATAATTGGGCTTATATTTCGGCAACATGTCTTTCTCGGAGCAATAACAGAAGTGGATTCACTCCTGTCATTGCCCCAATAAAGGCATGTTGCCGAAATATTAACCCAACTATATCTCCACTCTCCTGGTTTTTCTCAGAGGACTAAGGCTAATACTACTGTCTTATACTCAAGTTACACTTCATGTGTTTGTTGCGGTATATGTGTTTATATTTATATATATATATATATATATATATATATATATATATATTGCATCTACAAAAGCATACTGCAATTTCCCAAGTCTTCGACTCAGGGACATCCTTTCTGGAAGACACAGTCCCTTTAGCTTGCATCGACGCATGAGCTTACGGCTACGGGTAAAGAATGTGATATGACTAGTGTGGCAGTTGCCACACTAGCTTCCGCTGAAATAAGCCCAATCTTAGCACGCCTGCAATGAAAAATGTTTGCTCCGGCAATTAGACCAATCAATCTGCAATCTGCAACGGCAATCTGCACCTGAGCGTCTGAAAAGAACCGGCCGTTTAAGATGGTCTTCTCGCTGTTGGTATTCACGTGGCAGATACTGGCAGCGCGCTGCCTGTTGCAGTGCCCGCGTGGCAGCCCCTGCTGTGGGACACCACCGAACATCTGCTGGCACCGGGGGGGGGGGGGGGGGAGGAGGGAAAGAGGCGATTCATCACGACGGCGCAGATATCATGATGGTGCAGAGTGACTCATCGTGATGGCGCAGAGTAAGCCATCAGAATGGCGCAGTGCGAGCTGGCATGATGGAGTGTGATGAACCATCACGATGGCGCCAAGTAAGCAGTCAAGATGGAGCAGAGAGGGTCATCGTAATGAGTTATCACCATCTTCAGACATTCTCATTTCCTCTGTAAAAACGGTTTTTAATGACGATGTCATCGGTGTATGCACTTCATCCACACGCAATACTGTTTCACAATGCATAGTGATATCAATTCGACTTCGCGGATACGGTCATAATGCTCTCCTCCTCCCATACGAATGCCTCATTTATGGCATTTAACTTAATTTGTATTTACTTGCGTTGCTTAGATACACTGTTATAATATAAGATTGCTTGGTACTTAGAAAACGTAATTTGCCCTGAAATGGATGAGGTAACTGGCTCGTACTGCAATGCTGGGTGATAGCCTTGGTAAGTGCTAATAAGATAAGATAAGTGCTGGCGAGGTAAGTGTAGTTAACTCAAAGACTTGACACGTCAACGTGACGCTCCGTCCCGCACTTGCACTTCTTACTGGACTTCATCTTCCACTAAACCCTCCATTTCCTGCGAAACACCCACTAAAGCTTGAGCTAATTCATACCGAAATCTTTCACACACTCTTACAAACTCGCCTGAGCCGTCAAAAACGTGTTTGCTCTCTCCCCAGTAATTCCCTTTTTCCTTCCGAAGCTCTTTACATTCTTTCATCTCTGGACTTCAAAGCAAATTATCGCCGTCCGACGTACGGCTGCTCGATCTGTTATGCATCAGGACAGGTTTAGTTAGCAGTCTGGCAGTATATCAGGCCCAACAGACCTCCGGTGTGCTGACAACTTATGAAAATGACGTGAGCAGAACCTTGAGTGCGCCGATGCTCTCGAAAGCTCCATCTCCATTATTTGCATGTGCATTTTGTTGCACGTGCACAATATACATGTACGGAAGTGGAGCATCTTTACATAAGGACATTCGCTGAGATAAAATGTACGTACTCACCACTGAATAGTGCTCTATGTCCTGTTCGTAAAAGCGTTTGCTTTTGGTGCACCATTTTTCGCCTTTGTAGCATCATCTTATCCCCACTCACCCCATCATATGTCGTCAATATTGTCATTTATCATATCCAATTTTTTCCACGAGATAAATAAACCAACACTAGGCAGTAGCATCCCCATCCACCGTGAATTTTCTCGTGCATGGCGGCGCGCGGCTTTGTACATCCATGCAATGCACTCAATCAGCAGTGTTGCCGTCTCCCACACTGGTCATTGCTCTGCTATGATCCATGCCAGAGAGCATTAAAAACACGACCAGCGGTTCGCCCTGGCCAGCGGGCGGGGCGAACCGGGGAACCTGTCGAGTCCCGAACCTGTCGGGTCCCATATCCCTTCGGGCATGCACAAGCCGTGTACTCCCGATGGGTTATGGAACCCGACAGGCTCAACGTCCGAACCGAAGCACCCGCTCGCCGTTCCTAAATGCCCGGCGGCGGTGCACGGGAAACGAAAGGTCGGTTGAGAAAGCATGTTTGGGTCCAGATATACCACGGACGACGGAGAGCTGTCGGTGGAGCGTTTTACTTCAACCGAAGCATTGCCAGATTCAGTCTAAAACCATTGCCATGACTTTAACAGGTACTTTGCTAACTTTGCATAGATCACCAAACTTTGAAGTCTCACAGTCTCAGCTGAATTGCGTTTCTAGTCTCACACAATAAGGTATCGAGTATGCTAAGACAAGGCGACCCAATACAAAGTCACCGTATTGTGTCGCCGTGCATTCATTTTGCATGCTTCCAGGGGCCCAGGCCTCGGAAGTCACAGTCACGTGGCGTCGGGGCGTGACTGGCCGCCACGCGAGCCGAGGT